GCAATAGGGAATGGACACAGATACTTAACTACATTTAACGAAAAAAAATTTGTGTAATGTCATCAATCTGTATTACACATAGACAGGATGTTCTCTAGAAAACTATGATATTTCTAATACGTTATACACACCCCAGGGGACACGCACTGTCGTAATGGAAAATTACTGCATGCTTTAATTACCTGTAATCAGCCATGCAACAAATCAGTTGACTGACCATGTCATTACAGTTTAAAAAGTTTTTCCTCAGATCAAAACGGAATATTCATTTTAACTTTAAAATTCTTATCTAACTGCATGACGGTGGCCACAGACATATATATATATATCCATTTACTAATTCTATTATTTCTTGAGAAAAAAAATCAGGAGGGAAGTCAGAGGGAAGTGAAACAAATATTTTAAGCTTTTATTAAAAATTGTTGGGAAAACAATAAAATACGACGCTGAGTTTTGAAAAAAAAGTTTATGATTGGTCTTAATTTTTTTTTTTAATAAAGATAGAAACAATTTTTTGTCCCGAGAAAAAAAAACAATGCCCCCTTTTTAGCCAAACCGACATACGCCGATGAATGAAGAATTCCAAGTAGGGTCACAAGGTCACATTATAAAACTTTTTTAGTCGCCAAGTCTCAAAAAGCAATTTTGACTGGCATTGTTTTTAGTAGAATTATGTTTTTGCAGGTCAGGTTGCAAAGTGGCAGGTCGCGATCGGATTTGACAATGTCAAGTTGACAACGGTCCTAAAAAATATCCGAAAAAACGTTGAATCAAACGATATGAACCTACGCAGTTTTATATTATAAGACTGACACACACCAGTGTGCTAACTGTGCGGTAAACGGACAGAAAGTCACAGGACAGAAAGTCACAAATTTGATAGGACAAAAAGTCACAGGACAAAAAGTCACAAATAATTTGTTGACAATTGTTTGAATGTATAAGAGAAATATCTTAAAAAAAATATTTTTATTACATATATTCAGTTTACAGTTTAGTAAATTGTTCATTAGCCTTGATAAATGAAAATTTATTAAATTTTAATCATGCAAAGGATATATTTATCGGCACCATGAAGCCATTTAAGTACCAAGCCACTTTGACATTTTGTTTTCTTTACAATTATTTCATCATTATTGATATTTATTGAATAAATTTTAATTACAAAGTTACTTTATACATAATAGTTCAAGAAAAATACAAAAATGTTTTTACAAAAATATTTGTTTTCTTACTCAAAGAAAAATATTCTCAAAACTGAATTGTGACTTTTTGTCCTGTGACTTTTTGTCCGTGACTTTTTGTCTGTGACTTTTTGTCCTGTGACTTTCTGTCCTACATTCAACTGTGCTGGGTGAGGTGCTGTAACTTGATATACATGTATCATTAAGTTACAGTACTGTTAGGATTTGCCTGCCTTTTTACAGGGTCTTTCTATACTAACTGTTAGTATAGACTGCCCCTGGCTTGAAAGTATGGTTCTCTGCTCATCAACGGGTGCGTGATTAGCAATTTAAATATATTGTAGCAGTAAAATACCTCCGTGGGGGGGGGGGGGGGGGGGGGGGGGAGGGGCACTTAATACTTAATTGATAGGGGTGTCGCTGGGGTTCTGTTACCCCACCCTATTCATATAATTTAGATCTTAAAAATGTATTATACCTTTTCATATACTGCGAGGGTAAAATTGTAACCTTTTCCCATATTGGTTGGTTTTCGTGGGGTGTGTTGGTGAAGTGGAATATTTAAGGCTAAGATTCTGTATGTAATGTTTACTTACGGCGAGACTTTCGGCTGTGAAAAAATGACAGGGCTTTTCATATACAAGTAATTGGAACTTTATCGACCTTATCATATATTTCTGATAGTTTTCCCCACCTATTCCCATATTTTCAAGCTGGAAAAAGTGACCTATTCCAGCGGCACGTCATATCACCTTGTATATAGGAAGTGCCCCCATCCCCCCCCCCCCCGAGTACAATACACAAATGTATAATACCTTAATTCAGGAGCACAGTCTGTCTTTACCGTAATTAACTTCGAGATTAATATGTAAGTTTACTTTGCTAATCGATGTTCCTGTAATTCAGATTTAAATTTATTTGTGAGACCCGCGTCACTATTTATATTCACTCAAAGAAAGGGGTTCTCCGTTACTGGGAAAATCCAAAGACGTATTGTGTTAGTTATACGTCCTTGGAAAAATCTTATCTGATTCAGGATCAATTTATCGGTTACACTCCCCTATCACCAGTGATTCTTTGTGAACTGACATTCTGAAAAAGGTATACTGTTGACTATCAATTTGCATGATTAGTTACAGATGTCGACTCGGACTACTGCAGAAGACAATAAATTCAGTTCACTGATTTAGATTTAATAGTGGTTCGGTTAATCCCCCTCTTCCCCAAACAAGTAAGAATTAGGTTACATCTTTTGGTAGTCCAAATAATTATGACGTCTAGCAAGGCTATTTTATTTTTTTTATGCCCCCGCCGTAGCGGTGGGGGCATTAAGTTTTACCCTTGTCCGCCTGTACGTACATACGTCCGTACATCCCAAAATTGGTTTCCGTTCTCAAACTTGAGTTTGCCTCAACCAAATGTTAAAGTAAAAACTTATACACAATGCTTATTACCACAAAACACAGATCAAGTTTGAATTTTGGTGGCGTCACTTTAACCGTTCTAGAGTTATGCCCCTTTATAAATGGAAAAATTGCAAAATTTTTAGTTTCTGTTCTCTAACTTAAGTTTGCCTCAACCAAATGTTATAAAACCTATACACAATGCTTATTACCACAAAACACAGATCAAGTTTGAATTTTGGTGGCGTCACTTTAACCCGTTCTAGAGTCATGCCCCTTTATAAATGGAAAAATTGCAAAATTTTAATTTCTTCTAAATATCAAGTAATTTTTAAAATTGGAATTATCTCCCTTTGTCCATTATTATAGTTGAATCAACTACAATCAATGCTTTATACAATGCAATGTTTAATTTTGACTTCCACTGATAAAACACAGATCAAGTTGAATTTGGGTAGTGTCACTTTAACCATTATTGAGTTATGCCCCTTTATAAATTGAACGATTGCAAATTTTTAGTTTCCATTCTGTAACTTAAGTTTGCCTCAACCAATCATTATGAAACCTATACCACATATTCATTACCACAAAACTAAGATCAAGTACAAAATTATTGTTTCCGTTTTCTAACTTTAGTTTGCCTCAACCAAATGTTATGAAATTTATACACAATGCTTATTACTACATAATACAGATTAAGTACGAAATTAGGTGGCGACAAATTACCATTCTTGAGTAATGTCCCTTTATAAACATAAAAATTGCTGAATTTTTCGTTTCCGTTCTCTAACTTTAGTTTGTCTCAACCAAATGTTATAAAACTTATACACAACCGTTCTAGAGTTATGCGCGTTTACAAATAGAAAAATTGCTGAATTTTTAGTTTCTGTTCTCTTCTTAAGTTAGCCTCAACCAAATATTATGAGACTTACACACAATGCTTATTACCACAAAACTCAGATCAAGTTCAAATTTGGGTAGCGTCACTTTTACCGTTCTTCAGTTATGTCCCTTTATAATTTTTCTATCTATCTATCTTCATCTTTCCGCACTCAGTCACAACTTTGACTATTACGTGCCCAGAAAAAAGTTAAAATAGCCTTGCAAGACGTCATAATTATTTGGACTAATCTTTTGGCAAATATGGTCGTACCACAGGGGTTTGTTACAATTTGCCGGGTTTTCTATCCTTACGAACCCTGAAAAACTTACCAGGCCAGGTGATAAAAAAATCTGTCTCCCCTTTTTATCCCACCAGAAAATCAAAAGGTTGTCTCCTTACACATACATGACAAAAACATATACAAATATGGTATCATTGCCAATGTGACGGCTCTTCAACAGAAACTTAAACCGTAGAAGTTAACAACTATATAGGTCACCATACAGATTTCAACAATGGACTAAAAAGCCAAACTGCGTAATAAGCTACAAAAGGCTAAAATAGATAGACAATATCTGACAAGGGTAGAAATGTTCAGAATGTTGAAAAAAAAATCTACTGTCCATTTGCATCAAAACTAGAAGCTGACTCATAGGAGTTGTTGCCTTAAATACAGATTTTAACCATTTTTTTTTTCTTCATATTTCTTGAATTTGCCTTTTTATCTCGAAAACTGTAATAATTAAAGAGAAACTTAAATCTTATTTAAAAGTTATTGCTTTTCAATGATGATTTTGATCCAGTTTTTGCAAAAACTTGGAAACTTTAAATCATTGGTAAACTCCTTATATTATACTGCCTGGTCTCATGGTAGCGTGTTCACCTCACGTGCAGAAGGTTGTTTATTTTGAACCCAATCGGGTAAAACCAAAGACTTTAAAGTTGGTATTTGCTGCTTCTCCCCTAAGCACGCAGTATTATTAAGGAGTAAGAGCAAATACTGGTTTGTTCAGAGTCAGAATAATGTGTCAAGGTAAGGTGACATGTCTCTCTGAGAACTAGTGTAAGAGATAAATTGTCTAGTCAGACAAATATAACTAGTATAAAAAGTCCATGGATACAGAATTTACTAGTATATTTAGTCCGATGTCAGTAATTTATGTCCCCAGACTAATTTTCCTAGTCCATGACATCACTATTCCTAGGTAATAACATGAATAAGGCCCCTATATTTGGTGAATGGAATGATTGTGAGATGCACAGTCTGTCTGGCATGTTTTATATGACCTTGACCTCATTTTCATGGTTCATTGGTCAATGAAAAGTTTGCATTGTTTTGTCAGTTTATAATATGCTTTAAGCAACAGGTAAATTATATTTGGCGAATGTAACGATTGTAAGGTGTGCATGTCTGTCTTGCAGATTCATATAACCATGATCGCATTTTATGGTTCTTTGGTCAATGCTAAGTTTTCTTAGTTTTTTATACGGTCATATATTGGTATGAAGTTGGCGTTGTCGCTGTCCGAAGACACATTGGTTTTCGCACTCTAACTTTAGTTTAAGTGAATGGATCTCTATGAAATTTTACCATAAGGATTGATTTTGGGGGTTATGGTACCAACAGTTAAGGAATTAGGGGCCAAAAAGGGGCAAAAAATAAGCATTTTTGTAACTTCCAGACATAACTTGTGTGTTAGTGTATGGATCTCTCTGACATTGTACCACAAGGTTCCATATCACACAGGGAATGCTGGGATTGATTTTGGGGGTAATTGCCTCAAAATATTAGGAATTAGGGGCCAAAAAAGGGGCAAAAAACAAGCATTTTTTTAGTTTCATGACAATAACTTGTGTGTAAGTGTATGGATCTTTCTGAAATTGTACTACAAGGTTCCATATCATAAAGGGAAAGCTGGAATTGAGTTTGGGGGTAATTGCCCAAAACGTTTAGGAATTTGGGGCCAAAAAGGGGTCAAAAATAAGCATTTTTCTAGTTTCCAGACAATAACTTGTGTTCAAGTGTAAGGATCTCTCTGAAATTGTACTGCAAGGTTCCATATCACACAGGGAATGCTGGGATTGATTTTGGGGGTAATTGCCTCAAAATATTAGGAATTAGGGGCCAAAAAAGGGGCAAAAAACAAGCATTTTTTTAGTTTCATGACAATAACTTGTGTGTAAGTGTATGGATCTTTCTGAAATTGTACTGCAAGGTTCCATATCATAAATGTAAAAGCTGGAATTGAGTTTGGGGGTAATTGCCCAAAACGTTTAGGAATTTGGGGCCAAAAAGAGGCCAAAAATAAGCATTTTTCTAGTTTCCAGACAATAACTTGTGTTCAAGTGTAAGGATCTCTCTGAAATTGTACTGCAAGGTACCATACCACAAAGGGAAGGCTGGGATTGATTTTGGGGGCAATTGCTTTAAAATTTTAGGAATTAGGGGCCAAAAAAGGGGTAAAAAACAAGAATTTTCTAATTTCATGACAATAACTTGTGTGTAAGTGTATGGATCTTTCTGAAATTGTACTACAAGGTTCCATATCACAAAGGGAAAGCTGGAATTGAGTTTGGGGGTAATTGCTCAAAATGTCTAGCAAAAAGGGGCCAAAAATAAGCATTTTTCTAGTTTCCAGACAATAACTTGTGTTCAAGTGTATGGATCTCTCTGAAGTTGTACTGCAAGGTACCATACCACAAAGGGAAGGCTGGGATTGATTTTGGGGGTAATTGCCTCAAAATTTTAGGAATAAGGCGCCAAAAAGGGGCAAAAAACAAGCATTTTCTAATTTCAAGACAATAACTTGTGTGTAAGTGTATGGATCTTTATGAAATTGTACTACAAGGTTCTATATCACAAAGGGCAAGCTGGGTTTGAGTTTGGGGGTAATTGCCCTAAACGTTTAGGAATTTGGGGCCAAAAAGGGGCCAAAAAAACAAGCATTTTTCTAGTTTCCAGACAATAACTTGTGCATAAGTGTATGGATCTCTCTGAAATTGTACTGCAAGGTACCATACCACAAAGGGAAGGCTGGGATTGAGTTTGGGGTGATGAATCATAAGGGGGTTCAAAAAATTGGGGGGGGATTTTTTTTTCCCTTTTTTTCCTTTTTTTTTCTTTAAAATTTTCCATTTTAAATTGGTTATTTCTGATTAATATATAAGCAAATAATAATGATATGGTTTGAATAGGTAAATTAAAATTTTTTAAGTTCTTAGACCACATTCATTCTGTGTCAGAAACCTATGCTGTGTCAAATATTTAATCACAATCCAAATTCAGTGCTGTATCAAGCTTGAATGTTGTGTCCATACTTGCCCCAACTGTTCAGGGTTCGACCTCTGTGGTCGTTTCAAGCTGTGCCCAGCGGAGCATTTTATTCATTTTATCAGATATTATAAGCATATGTCTACTTGTTGGTGTATGGAATGACTACAAGGTGTCATATAAAAATAAGAAGATGTCTGTTTGCCAAGTTTAATATTACTGTGACCTCATTTTCATAGAATATTGATAATATCAAGCAAAAATGATGAGCAAGACAAGATACAAATGATCCAAAATTGTCAGTTGCCTACTCATTATGTAATAGTAGTTATTGTCATTAAATGATAATGTTTACCCTTTTATGTGTAGGGCAAGAACATTAAAGATAAAGGGAAACTATAAACAAAAGAAATTATCAACAAAAATAGATTTACAGACGTCAACAAAGCCTAAATGGTAAGTCCACTTCTATAAAAGTTATTGCCCTTGAATAATGATTATTATGAAATAAGATGTGGTATGATAAATGAGAAAACTATCCACCAGAGTTCAATTAAGTGGATGTAAGCAATGCAATTACTTATTAGAGGCCAATGATGACCTGTAAATAATGACAGGCAAAATATGGCAGGGTTGATATAAAAATAAGAAGCGGTACGATTGCCAATGAGACTTTTCTCCAATAGAGATCAAATGACATTAAATTTAACAAAATCAGTTCACTGTACAGCCTTCGACAATGAGCAAACCCTATACTGCATAGTAATCCATAAAAGGCCATGAAATAACAAATGTAAAACAATTCAATATGGGCATGGCGTCATTTAAAAAGGGCATGGTGTCTATCCATGCTAAACATGCTTGGGGGAAACACCATAAAGGTGAAAACTAAGTGCCTGATTTTTGCACAAAACAATAAACAAAAAACAAATATGATATATAGCAACAATTGACAATTACTGAATAATAGACCCCTGACTTGGGACAGACACTTACAAAATGTGGCATGGTTTAACATGTTTGCTGGCGCCAAATCCTCTAATTAAGGACAGTGGTGTAAGTGTCAGTTCAATATAAAAACTATAAAATCAGTTGAAAAGGGTTTTTTTCTGCTCTTGGGTCAGGTTATTTAAGGAATGACTATAATATTTTTTCTGTCTATGAAGAAATAACATCAAAAATGTGGTGCACACTGAATAACCCGCGTAGCAGGTTATTTTAAAGTGTGCACCACATTTTTTCTGTTATTTCGAATAGACAGAAAAAATATTACAGTCATTTCTTATAATTTAATTCTAAATTCCATTTTAAACCGGAGGAAACCATGAAAAAAAAGTTGATGACGTCATGGTCACATGACAAAATTATGTCTATGAGCTGATAAACAAAACCATGTCAGCCAATCAGAAGACGCGTTACATCCAAAATTAAATTATTTTGATACATTCCCGTTTTCATTCTCAATTTTATTAACTCATTAGAATGCAACAAAGCAGAAAAACAGCTACCAAAAACACAGACCGGATGTGGCTGGAAATTTATTCTTTCCCTTTAACAAAAAAGACTCAACATACAGATCTATTAGTACTCACAGTTACTGACAGCTAATTCAAAGCAAATATCAACTAATAAAATAAACATTTAGTGAGCACCTAACCCACCCCTAACCTGGGATAGTGGTTTTAATAACAGCACAACATTTGAACAAACTGTAAACATTTGTTGCAATTGGCTTAACTCGAAAGACTGCAACAAGGCACAAAAAACAACTAATATGAAAACCATAGACACAAAGCACTGAAATAAGAGTTCTTACAATTTTAAATATTCAAATGAAATTTTTATCAAAATGTACATAAACATGATAAAATAGCCATTTTATTGCTGTATTTCTCTTCATTTATAATTTTTGAGTTTTGTGTATTTGTAGGTCAGACATCTTGGTTTTCATGATCATCATTCAACAGGTCAATACTGAACAGCAAACTTAAAGTTGATATTTTTCTACATAGTGTGACTTTTTTATTAATTTGAAATGGAATGTGTTTTTTTCCTACATAAGAAAGAGGAAATTTCAACATAATTACTATAAACAAAAAGGAGTCATATCATCATGATCTTAGATGCTCAAGAACTTAATCATGTAAATGCAACAACGTAATTATCAATTGAAAGAAGGGAGGAATGAAAAAATATATTAGTATTTTGTTGTCCAAATGAACTTGCTTTGTCCACTCATTTAAATCGCTCCATCCAATAAAGATGTACGGAGGAAGATTTTTGAAGAACAGATTGCATAAATGTTTTGTCTTAGAATTGTAGGAATATTCTAGTGGATGAAATAATTTATTTACTTGACTCTTATATAGTGGACTGAATAATTGTTCATAGCAAGCTGAAACAAGAAAACTAAAACTTAACAGGAAAAGTGTTTATTTTATAAATTTACAAATATAAATGTAATATTATGAACACCACAAAGGAATAAGATTCAAATCATTTGCATATTCATGTATTGCAATGGAACTATAACAAAGAAAACTTTACCTCATGAAAAGAGTAAACTATTAACTGTGCTTTGTCAATTTATTCAGTCAGAATATGAAATATTTTTATCAGTTCTATTTTTCATAATAAAACAAAGAAGACAAAGATTTCAAATCAATATTTTTTTCTTTTATTAAGACGTCATCATTTTATTTCAGTTAAAGGATTTTATTTTTTGACTTTAAATATTATTATATTTCCAAAATAATAATAATCTTTATTGTCATATAAACAAATTAAAAACATGTTTGTGACAAAATGAAAAAAACCAAAATACACTCATATATATATTATAAACTTTTTACTACCAAACAGAATTCATTGTAACATACACATTACTGTATATTTATAATTTGAATTCCATAGGATTTTATTTTGTCCCATGGGATATTAAAAATCCCATGGGATAATTATAGTCCCATGGGATTTTTTTTGTCCCATGGGACATCAAATATCCCATGGGACTACAATTATCCCATGGGACCCAAAAAAATCCCATGGGATTTAACCGAAATCCCATGGGATAATGGTCAATCCCATGGGATTTGCCTTATCCCATGGGATATTGAAAATCCCATGTTTTTCTAAATCAAATTACAAAATATTTATAATAATAACAGCAGAAAAGCAATGAAATTATTGAATCCCATGTAATTCCGCACGTTTTGGTTATTTACACGACACTGTAGGTCTAAGGAGAGGCGGCGGCGGATTTGCAAATGAGTGTTTTGCAAATTAAAAGTGTCCAGTGTTAATAATTATATTAGTATTATGAACATACTAGTTTTACAGTATACTATATTGCAGATCTATTTAGTATCACTTGTATGCCTTTTTGGTTTAGAATATAATTAGTGATTTATGTAGTGTAGTATGATATATGTGATAATAATGATAAGATTATATATTGTTTTGATTTATATTTTTTGGTTGTTATAACTTTTACTTAATTTTGGGGCACTCAGACCGCATACATTTCATGTATTCAATCTGACTAATGGCCGTATTAATTAATTAATCGGGTAATGGGAATACATAATTCATTAATTCCCAAAAATTCTGTAGTTTTCATTTGTTTCGATGTACAGTACATATACATTAAAGTTTGAATGGGCTATTAAACTTGTCTAGCAGTTTTTGCTATCTTCATCCACATCAATTTGAAGTAATGCTCTTCCGGCTCTTGTAGCACACTTGTCTTCCGGCTGTTGTAGTTCTGGGTACACCGAGTAGCATCTAACATTGATTCCGGCTCTTGTAGCTAACTACACCGAGTTGACCGCTACACCGAGTTGAGTATTACTTCCATGTGCATTACTGACATTGTTATTCCGGCTCTTGTAGCCTAAGCTGCACTAAGTAAACAACTACTTTTCTGCTCGGATAGCTTTCCATTAGCTGCTACACCGAGTTTAACTATGTCAGTAATTTAGAAAATGCTGAGTCTGCCCCAATCCCAAATCAAGTATAAGTTTTTAGTTATTTTGTATTAAGAAGTTATGTAATATAGTATAATCTTTTTGACTAGAGTAATTTTGAGTGATTTATTGTGTATGTAAATATATTGATATTGTGTTTTAATAATAGAAATTATTAACTACTTTAGTTTTGTCTAATTATTACATTAGGGAGCCATATAATTAGAGAATCAGAATAGTAAGTCGACATCACTTTTCTTATTACTATACTAGTTATAAGATCCATCGTCAAACTATCCATACATGTAAATGTAGAAATTGGTATATGAGTAGCTGCACACTTTGCAAATATGGGGTATATGTCAATGCATACCAAGCAGAGTCTTAACAGTATTCAGTAACCTGAAATGCCTTATAGTAGATTATATGGCATCATTACATCGCGATGACCTTGAGGTCATCCAGATGTATTGCTATCGCCTAGATTTCCATTATGTAAATTAGTTTTGGGTTTGTAACCGATCTATAAACATGATAAATACGCGCACATAAACGAGTGCAAAATAACATTCCTTATCGTTTGATATAAATACATCTCTTCAATGAATACTGATAAAAATATTTTTGTTTACAACATTAATTAATAAAATGAAAATGTTTTGTAGTTAGATATATATATATAAGTAAAAAATCATTGATAATATCAATGCACACGTACCGAAAAATTGTGTTAAAGCATGCGGAAGAATATCTCAAAGAACGTTTTGTGAAAATACCGTCAAGGACCGGTAACTCTGTAATTGATTTTGCGGGAAAATATGAATGCCTACTCGTATCCAATCTTAGAAAAATCAAATTTTTACAGAAAAGTGTCCACCATGCACTTGCATTGCACTGTTTTTAGAATAGTAGAATAGAATGATATACAAATGGATTCAAATCATATATATATGTAACTGTTATTTTAATATAATATAAACAACAACTCAGTGTATACTGATTTGTATCACTACAATATAATAGTTATTACGGTGAAGTTGAATTTCCTGTCATTTATTCATCATCCACGCACGAACTTGTCTCAGAAAAAAATATATCTCTGTACATTAACCTCAGTTTTAGGTAAAGAGATATGTTGTTTTTTTCTGAGATAAGTGCTTTTGACCATCCTCAAGAACTTGTGGTCATCCGATGTTCAGTACTTCAGTACTTTGATTTTTACATCGCGATGACCTTGAGGTCAATCCGATGTATTGCTATCGCCTAGATTTCCATTATGTAAATTAGTTTTGGGTTTGTAACCGATCTATAAACATGATAAATATGCGCACATAAACGAGTGCAAAATAACATTCCTTGTCATTTGATATAAATACATCTCTTCAATGAATACTGATAAAAATATTTTTGTTTACAACATAAATTAATAATGTGAAAATGTTTTGTAGTTAGATATATATATATATAAGTAAAAAATCATTGATAATATCAATGCACACGTACCGAAAAATTGTGTTAAAGCATGCGGAAGAATATCTCAAAGAACGTTTTGCGACAGGACCGGTAACTCTGTAATTGTTTTTGCGGGAAAATATGAATGCCTACTCGTATCCAATCTTAGAAAAATCGAATTTTTACTGAAAAGTGTCCACCATGCACTTGCATTGCACTATTATTAGAACAGTAGAATAGAATGATATACAAACGGATGCAAATCATATATATATGTAACTGTTATTTTAATATAATATATAACAACAAATCAGTGTATACTGATTTGTATCACTACAATATAATAGTTATTACGGTGAAGTTGAATTTCCTGTCATTTATTCATCATACTCGCACGCACTTGTCTAGAAAAAAATATATCTCTGTACATTAACCTCAGTTTCAGGTAAAGAGATTTTTTCTGAGACAAGTGCTTTTGACCATCCTCAAGAACTTGTGGTCATCCGATGTTCAGTACTTCAGTACTTTGATTTGACCTGTGCACACACTTGGTTCATCTTTATTGAGTTTTGTCTTAAGTTGTTTCTTGCTTAAGCATACTTATATGAACATGGTTTATTGTCAAACTCTACAGAGCTCACAGTGAGAAGTTACTTGCAGTACACTATGACCACTAAAACATCAGGCACATTACAACTATACATGTATGCTGATTGATCTCAGATTTATGATACAACACAATTACTATATAGATATTACCATTCAAGGTGGGATAAGAATACAGTTGAAGGATCGAACTTGGTTTTCTATTCTAATTAAGTATTTACAAAATAATTTAGAATTTTGTAAATCTAACAAAGTGTTTATGCTTAATGGAAGAGTAGGTCAAGATGTTAATGCAAAACCTACAAGTAGAAACAATAGTGTTATTGATTATATTATATGTACCTCACATTTTCTACAATTTGTAAGCAATTTTGAAATTGGTGAGTTTTCCAAACTTTTTTCTGATGTGCACTCACCTTTATCATTACATATAGATTGTTAATCCTTGATTAAAAATAATGTAATTGAAAACTAATTTTGTACAGCAAAATATGATTGGAAGATGGAATATTGAAAAAAATAAATGAATATAGAACAAATATTGATACAGATAAAGTTGATTATGTTATAAGCAAGCTGAATACTTATAATGATAAAGAGAATATCTCAAAAAATGACATGAATAATTTGGTACATGAAGTTTCTGATATCTTGATTGATTCTGCAAAACTTACTTTTGGTACAAATGTGTATACTAAAACTATGTTGCGTAATTCTAAGAAACAAAACAATAAACAATGGTATGATAAAGATTGTAACAAAGCAAAGAAAGAATTAAGAAAATCACAAAGACTATAAACATTATGGGTCAAATATTTTCAAAGAAAGATTACGAGAGAGTGAGATATATTATAAGAAAGTGATGGATGAAAATATCAAGAAATTAAATGCAGATATGAGTGACAACATGAACAAATTGAAAAATATAAATCCAAAAGAATTTTGGAAATTGTTTAATAAGGGACGTCAAAGAGAAAAAAAGCAATATATCTATTAGAACATTATTTGATTTTTTTAAAGATTTGAATAAGAACAAGTTTGAAGATGAATTCATAATTGAAAATGATGTGAGCTCATCTTGTGACGATGACACACTTAATTGTGTTATTATATGAGAAGAAATTTTAAAAGCTGTTAAAAAGGCGAAGAATAATAAATCGCCTGGGGCAGATCAAATCATTAATGAATCCATTGCTTCATCTCTAGACAATATGATTGATATATACATAAAATTGTTTAATCTTATTTTTGATACGGGTATATTGCCGGAAGCCTGGCTTATTGATAATGTGATACCAATATTTAAGAACTAGGGGTGTAAATTAGATCCAAAAAATTATAGACCGATAACTTTATTGTCGTGCTTGGGGAAAATATTTACATCTATTCTTAATGACAGGTTGTGTTTTTTCGTTGATGAATTGAATATATTAAATGCAAATCAAGCCGGCTTCCGACATGGTTACTCTACAACAGATCATATTTTTTCTTTATATGCACTTTTTGAACTTCTCAGTGTTAAAAAGAAAAAGCTTTTTTTGCGCTTTTGTAGATTTTGAAAAGGCGTTTGATTTTGTACACCGGAATTCTTTATTATATAAACTCCTTTTGAATAATGTAAAAGGAAAGTTTCTTAGAGTTGTTTAAATATGTATGATGATGTTAAATCACGTATTATACATAATAATAATTTATCTGACATGTTTGCTAGTGAAATTGGTGTTAGACAAGGGGAAAATCTTTCTCCTCTGTTATTCTGTCTATATTTGAACGATTTACAGCAGTATCTAGAAAATGTTAACATAAGTGGTGTACAATCTTTAACATTAGATATTGAAAATGAACTAAATATATACCTAAAACTGTTTGTATTATTATATGTCGATGATACTATTTTACTTGCTGAATCAAGTTCAGATTTACAGTTACTTTTAAATAATTTTTCACAGTA